CAGTTGTCTTGCGCAAGACGACCTGGCGACCTCACGCGGTGGCTTCCGCGGGCCGCCAGCGCGGCACGGTGCACTGGAGACGAGGGCGCCTACGCGCGACCCTGTGCGGGCAGCTTACGCGCGAGTGTCCGCGCGATACGGCCAGCTGTTCTGCGCTGCTCAAATACGATTGGACTTGCCTGGCTCGGGGATGGACAGACCTCCCTTTAGTAAAACGTGGTTTAGCGAAAGCGACCTGAGGCCCAAACCTGGCGGGCGCAAGCCTGGAAAACAACGGCCGCGGCGCCCCCTCGAGAACCGACAACGGACGATTCACGAATCGGCGTGTCACTGTTGGGGGTTCTGTCCAGCTCAACAAAACTCGGACCCTGACACTGCCGCGCCATGAGATGGAGAGTGAACAATACGTGGAGGGTACCTCTCGCCAACGCTCGGACGTCCATTTCATGCGCACCCCCGACTGGCCACGGCGAGCCTCGGCCGTGAACACCCTCACGAAGCAAGCTGCGAGGAGCGGCCCGACGACCCGAGCCCCTCCCGAGCCCACGGCGGCCCTTCCGGTTGCGTCTTCGCGGGCGTCGCTTCTCGTTTCTTCTGTCCTCGCTTGAAGGCCCCGCAGAGCGGCCAGCCTACACAGCCGTGGAAGAGCCGAGCGCGGGGAAGACATCGGGGAACATGTGTATCCAGCTCTCTCGCCAACGCCGGCCGCGCCACGACGCTCTGGAAACCCGGGAGCCCCCAACAGGCGTCATCTGTTTGGGGGGGGGGGGGGGGGGGGGCAATGCTTGCTTCTGCCGGCTTCCGCTGGCGGAGCCGCCTCACGTTTGTTTCCGCCAGCCTTCCGCCGGGGAAGAAACGTTTCCGTGGCAGCTCACGGGAGCCTCCCATGCCATCTGGCTGGCCCTTGCGAATCGACAGTAACCGACGCGAATCCACACCGATCGACGCGAAGCCGCGCTAAGTCGACGCTGCCTCGTCGATCACAAGATGCTCGCGCACGCTAACGCACTCGAAAGACGCAGCATCGAGGACAGACCTGTTTCGGTCTGTGGCCGCTTGGTTCAAGCAGCGCTCGAGCGACGGAGGGGCGCTCCGAGGCGAATTGAAGCACTACAGCAGGCGCGGCGGGAGGCGGAGGGGGCGCGGGGGGGAAGGAGACCGCGCTCAGGAGGTGCAGACCCTGTGCGCGAGTGCCCGATGTGCGTGCGAACAGCGAAGTGGGAGTGCTTGAATCAAGGGTTCCCAACTTGGCGCTTCGCGCTGCGCGAAGCGCGAAGTGCGAATAACTTCGCGCTCTCGCGCCGCCTCCCAGGGGAGAAGAGGAGGATGAGGGATCGGAGCCGAACCGCGAAGCGCGAAGCGCGAATAACTTCGCGCCCTCGAGGGGGCCCTTGGGGAAAGGAGACCGCGCTCAGAAGGTGCAGTCCTTGTGCGCGAGTGCCCGATGTGCGAACAGCGCAGCGGAAGTGCTTGAATCGGCTACCACGCAAGAGTGGCCCCGGGTAAGAGTGGCCGTTGGGGCGCGGCTTTCGGGGGGCTGCGCGGGGGCCAGCCCCAAGCGCGCAAGACGCTACTGCCGCATCGCATTCGGCGATCGGGGGACCCCAGTGGGTCCGCACCAAAGGCCTCCCAGGCGAAAGGTCACTCTCATTCGCTGGCAACTCTGATGGGGGCCTTCCATACCATCTTGTCCACTCTTGCGAATCGACGCGACGCTAGTCGATACTGAATCGACGCTATCGACGCTATACCACGCTAAGCGAGGCGAACCGACGCTACATCGGCGCTATCTCATCGACTCCCAGACGCTAACCGACGCTCATCGATCATCAACTCCCAGACGCTAACCGACGCTAAGCGATTCTATAGACGGAATTAAGAGGGCACACCAGGCTCCCATGACTTGCTACCGAAAACATGTCTAGTCTTAGGCCGGGCGTGTCCCCCTACAGGCGGATGTCGGACGAAGAGTACAACACAGTCAAAACGTACACCAACCATACTCAACATTACGATTGAAAAAAAATCACCCCAAGACTACATTCTTACTGTTTTGGGGCGTTCCTCCTGTAGAGGGACAGGCCCGACGTAAGAGTCTCGTCGACCGAGCGACCCGGGGGCCCGCAACGCGAGGAGGTCGAGAGCAGACAGGGTTCCCACGAGCTGCCGCCGAAAGACGCCGACCCCCACGGCCCCCCGAAGGCGAGGCCCTTTTTCCCCACATCCTGAGTGGGGTTCTTGTTTTCCCAGAACACCCTCTCCTTCCCACCCACCTCCCGCTCCATCTTCCATACAGCACAATATTATGCCTACCACACACACCATACCATACCATAGTTCCTACCACACATACCATACCATACCATACCATACCATACCATACCACACCATACGTACCATATCGTACCATACCATACCATGGCGTACCATAGCATACCATACCATATCACACCAATGCCACACCGTACCATACCATACCATACCTCCAGTACCATACCATACCATATCATACCATACCGTACCATACCATACCTACCATACCATTCCATACCACTCCATACCGAAAACCATACTACTTACATGGTTTCGTGCCCCTCCCACCCCTCCAGGGAGGCCCCGCCTGAGCGAGGAGGGTATCGGAAAACCATACTATTTACATGGTTTCGTGCCCCTCCCACCCCTCCAGGGAGGCCCCGCCTGAGCGAGGAGGGTATCGGAATACCATACTATTTACATGGTTTCGTGCCCCTCCCACCCCTCCAGGGAGGCCCCGCCTGAGCGAGGAGGGTATCGGAAAACCATACTATTTACATGGTTTCGTGCCCCTCCCACCCCTCCAGGGAGGCCCCGCCTGAGCGAGGAGGGTATCGGAAAACCATACTATTTACATGGTTTCGTGCCCCTCCCACCCCTCCAGGGAGGCCCCGCCTGAGCGAGGAGGGTATCGGAATACCATACTATTTACATGGTTTCGTGCCCCTCCCACCCCTCCAGGGAGGCCCCGCCTGAACGAGGAGGGTATCGGAAAACCATACTATTTACATGGTTTCGTGCCCCTCCCACCCCTCCAGGGAGGCCCCGCCTGAGCGAGGAGGGTATCGGAAAACCATACTATTTACATGGTTTCGTGCCCCTCCCACCCCTCCAGGGAGGCCCCGCCTGAGCGAGGAGGGTATCCGAAAACCATACTATTTACATGGTTTCGTGCCCCTCCCACCCCTCCAGGGAGGCCCCGCCTGAGCGAGGAGGGTATCGGAAAACCATACTATTTACATGGTTTCGTGCCCCTCCCACACCTCCAGGGAGGCCCCGCCTGAGCGAGGAGGGTATCCGAAAACCATACTATTTACATGGTTTCGTGCCCCTCCCACCCCTCCAGGGAGGCCCCGCCTGAGCGAGGAGGGTATCCGAAAACCATACTAACCCCATGCTCACGATAATAAACACTAGGGGATAAGAAAGTTCGGGGTTCAGGGGGAGATAATCAAAATTAGCCCACCAGACCTCAGCATAATTTCGAAGTAAGAGATGATCAAGAGGAGACCAATCTGAGACCAATGGTTTATCTCGCTGGAGACATCCTCGACAAATCCCTTGTTTCGCTTGAGACATCCACAAACTATTGCTTATTTCGCTTGAGACACCGTCAAACTATTGCTTATTTCGCTTAAGAAACGTATCGTTTCGCTTGAGACATCCTTCAGTATATGCTTGTTTCGAAAAATCTCAAGGAGGAGGAGGAGAAGGAGGAGGAGAAAGAGAAGGAAAAATCTCAAGTTCAAATGTATTAGATTTTATTTACAATCGCTTTATAAAAATTAAAACTTGTAAGTGCTCGTGTAGGGTAGCTCATGTGCTTCATTTTCCATGGATAATCAACCCCAGGGATAAAAAAGTTCAGAGGGGGGCATGGATAGAGAGAGAGAGAGAGAAAGAGAAAGAGAGAGAGAGAGAAAGAGAGATACATCATAAAGAAAAAGAAAAGAAGGACTTAAAGAGAGAAGATATATTTAAAAATAAAAGTAGAATAATACATGAAAAGGATAAAGAGAAGAGGAAAGGAGGATAAAACAAAAAATCTAAAGATTCAAATAATCTTATTTACAAGCGCTTTATGGAAATTAAAAATTTTAAGTGCTCGTGTAGGGTAGCTCACGTGCCTCGTTTTCCATGGATAATCAACCCCAGCGATAAACAAGTTCAGGGCGCCAGGGGGAGGAGGAGGAGAAAGAGATAGAGAGACAGAGAGAGAGACAGAGAGGCCAGGAAGGAGAAAGAGATAGAGAGACAGAGAGAGAGAGAGAAAGAGAGACAGAGAAAGAAAGAAAGAGAGACAGAAATAACTACAAAGAGACAGAAAGACATTGGTTTCGCTTGAGACATCCTGAAACAACGTGTTCGCTTCGCTTGATGTTGTTATCTCAACATAAGAAGGAAGTAACTTCGATGGCGAACTTTTCCCGTGATAATGAAGTTCGGCGTCCGCGCCCCGCGCCCCCGACCAAACTCTTATTGGTCGACGATAAAAAACTCTAACGACTTAAGGGGGGGTAACATTATTATCGTGGGCATGGGGTTATTTACATGGTTTCGTGCCCCTCCCACCCCTCCAGGGAGGCCCCGCCTGAGCGAGGAGGGTATCCGAAAACCATACTATTTGAACACCTGTCCTCCCTCCTCCTTTCTTTCGTCTGCCCTTTCGTCCGTATTTACTCGTTCGACGACCTTCTCCTTCGTGTTGATGTTGTCGTGCCCCATGGGTTCCACGAAACCGTTAATATCTTTATGTGGGGAACTCCGTTAACAAAATTCTGCAGCGCCCCACGGGAACCCGCTGGACGGCTTCCCCCGGGGCCGCAGGCACCCGAGGAGGAGGGAGGAGGAGGGGGAGGAGGAGGAGGAGGAGGAGGAGGAGGAGGAGGAGGAAGAGGAGGAGGAGGAGGAGGAGGAGGAGGAGGAGGAGGAGGGGGAGGAGGAGGAGGAGGAGGAGCCTTTTTTCTCTCTCTCTCTCTCTCTCTCTCACTGCCCATTGAAGCAATCTTTAGAGCAGAAGTCCTTCTGAAACTTTGCTCTGGGTGGGGGGGATCCTGCAGAACCCTTACCCTCTCTAGTCAGTTCCCGTCCGCGGCGACAGCAAGGCAGATGCGAGCACTGCCTCGCCTGCACGAGGGCGCGGCCTGGCGAGCAGCCTCAGGGCTGATCTATGAATTGTTTCACGGACGAGTTCACAATGCACTGAGACTCCATGCATGCAGAGATCCCAATCATTGAGATAATATGGATATGGATGCACCGAGAAGCATTCTTCCCACAAAAGGCGAGACCACTTGATGGTAGACCACGGGTCCATCCCCTTGGCCTACCACGTAGCACGAAATTCGTCACTAACACTGGGCCGTGCACAAGCCACGTTTTCCAGTGCTAGTAAGTCCTGATAATCCTCAGATTCACAACTCCCATCAATAGAGACAATACTTGAAACTGCCCACGAGACATCTGCATCAGAAATCCCATCCACGGCAAAGATATGTCAAATCAATATGCATGACATCTGGCTCCGCAAAGATAGCGAGCTCAGTTATGAACGTGCACAGCAGCTCAGGAAGGGGTGATATCCATCAACTGCACACTTCACTTCGCAACTTATTTACGGCGCTCTCCTCCACGGCCAAGCTGTCGTACTAGATTGCCGCGTGGGGCTCGTCCTGATAGGATTTGACCTCCCATGGATCTGAACGCTTCTGGTAACATCAACTCCACTGGAATGCGCACGCCTTCGATCTGCAGGTGGTTCGTTGGCATCTCCACTGGCGTCGGCTGGAAGATTGGGTTCTCGGCTCCATGTGGATTCTCGTCGCCCTGGGGGCCCAGAGCTTTCAGCATCTAGCCGTGTCTCGTCGATCGAAGAGGAGGAGGAGGATGAGGAGGAGGAGGAGGAGGAGGAGGAGGAGGAGGAGGAGGAGGAGGAGGAGGAGGAGGGGGAGGAGAGGAGGAGGAAGAGGAGGAGGAGGAGGAGGAGGAGGAGGGGGAGGGGGAGGGGGAGGAGGGAGAAGAGGAGGAGGAGGAGGAGGAGAGGAGGAGGAGAAGGAGGAGGAGGAGGAGAAGGAGGAGGAGGGGAGGGGGAGGGGGAGGAGGGAGAGGAGGAGGAGGAGGAGGAGGAGGAGGGGAGGAGGAGGAGGAGGAGGAGGAGGAGGAGGGGGAGGGGAGGGGAGAGGAGAGGAGGAGGAGGAAGAGGAGGAGGAGGAGGAGGAGGAGGAGGAGGAGGAGGACGGGTCGCCTAAGCCCTTCAGAGAAACCCTTCACCCACGGCCCCTCGAGGGCAAGGCCCTTCTTCTGCAGCGCCCCTCACGTGCACCACCCTCTCTCGGCACGCCCACGCCGCCCTGCGGCTCCCCTCGGCGCGGGGCCGGCTGGGACGACGCAAGCCGAAGCCAAGACGAGGCTGCATTCGGGCAAGGACATCGAGAGTCTCTGAGCTCCGGCGGCTCTGGGGCATGTCTCGGGCGCCGCGGCCTTCTCAGAGCGTTCTGGAGCGCCCTGAGAGCGGCCCGGAACGCTCTGGATCGGACTTCTCCTCGTCCTGGCCCCGTCCGACGACGGCAGCTCGAAATCGGTCCCTGGACGCCTCACCCGGTCCAAACGCCCCGGCTTCCCGAGCCGCGCCCAGCAAGGGCGATGAGGGAGCCACCCGCAACGGTCTCTCGACTCGCCCTCCTCTGCCGCCCCCCCTGTCCTCGCTGAAGGCCCGGAGGGCGCCCGCGTCCGGCTGCCAGGCCGCGCGCGAGGGCGCACCGCTGAGGGCCGCGGCGAGCCTGGCGGCGCTCACCTGAGGGGCAACGACAAGGCAACGACAAGGGGGGACTGGCCTGGACCCCGAGATCCGACGCTGCGAAGGAAGGGCAACACCGCGAAAATGACGCCCGGAGCCCCAGACCCCAGACCCCGTCTTTCTGCGTCGCTCTCCGAGCCGGATCGATCTGTGAGGGTCCCGGGGCCCGAAGCCCGGCGGAAACGCCCGCTGTGAAAGAATTGAGACGCCAGGACCTCGGGGGAGGGGGAGGAGGAGGAGGAGGAGGAGGAGGAGGAGGAGGAGGAGGAGGAGGAGGAGGAGGATAAGACGCTGATGGACGCGGCCGCGCGTCGCACAGGCCGGCACTAAAACATGGGTAGGCCATATAGGCCTGCCCTCTTGCCTTCAAGACGTGCGCCAGCCCACCAAAGGATCACGGCTACGCACGAGGCACAGAAACGAGGCCCTAAGCCTCTCGAGACACAGGACACCTCGGGATCGGAGGCCATCAAGGGCCTCGGGGCCGAAGGGAAAACGCGTCCTCCCACCCGTCCCTCGTCAGCGGGGTGGGCCCCGGCAAGAAACAACCGACGGTTTCGGCCGGCACGTTCAGAAACAAAATTGGGGTTGGCATCGCACTGGAGCAATAAGTGTCCCGCGGTTCCCGTGGTATAAAACCCGCAAGAGACGCATAACACACAGTGGCCAGGCGCAACCCAAAGGCGGTGGCCTCTAGAGGCCTGCGCTGGGACGATCCCTAGACGCGGGATGGCCTCCAGAGGCGCCACGTACTCAGCCTCAGCGGGCCGATTATTCCCTGGCCCACTGCGTCTCCTCTTAGTCGGCGGGAGGTTCGCAGGACCCTCTCGCTCAGGCACCCCCGAAACTCCTAAGTGATCTGCATGATCGACTCGGGCGACAGCCATCTCCATCTCGGCTCTGTCAGCCGAGGAGGTGTATGTGGTTGGGTCAAACTCCACCCTCCTACGAGTGACGGCAGCACCTGCGATACTATCTTCATTCGGTCGCTTCCTGCCCTCCTGGCCGTTCCTGAGAGCCCCATGGAAGTCCTGGGAGGCAACGGAGGTCGGACCACTGTTGTCTCCGCCTTCGCCCTCACGATGTGGCGAGGACGAGGAAGGCGACTCAGCAGCCACGCCACAGGTCCGAGGAGGCTCACCACACACCTGGCCCGTTGGGCCAGCTTCGTCATTCGGAGGGCAGGACCCCCCGTGAAACTCTACTGCGGAGGTATCCTGAGTGGTCCTGGCGTGACATAGTATAGCCTGCAACTTCGCACGGGTGACGGGATTGCGCGTGCCGCGACGGCAGTATAAGCAGCGAGAAAACTTCGCACCATCTTCGAAAACATGGCACGCATGCTTGGGCGGCGGCGGGCCGTCAACCTTGGACACCCGCATCGGATGGCTCCGCCGCCGCTCTCTCTTGTGCGTGTCAACCCGCCCCGTGGAGGCATGATGCATATGCGCCTGTGTGACCCAACTCAGGATACTCCTAGTGCGACGCAAGGCAAGCTTCATCGCCTTGATCTGTGGCTGGCTGGGGGCATGGATATCACGACCGCAACAAGCAGCCTTGTCAGCCCAGCGATTCGCTCGAGCCTCCTGGGAAGACCCCCTCTGGTGGCCTCTCACATGAGAGACGCGGAGGTCGGCGGTAAGACCACCAAGGTCTTGCACTTTGTGCCAGATGGCCTTTCAAACATCCGAGTTAGGCCGCCTTGGGCCGCATGTGTACTCGCCCCCCCCAGCCAAGCCCTCAACAACGCCTAAGTAGTCTGTATGGATATGTACAGGGAGCATGCATACCTCAAGAACTTTCAAAACCGCGCGAAGCTCACCCCCTCGGGGAACTCTGAATGGGGCCTGGTAAGGCGCCGTACACCATGAGCTCGGTATTGTGTCTGTACTTGACGAAGGCCCAACCCGCGCGAGACGATTCAGGCCAGCACCATAGTTTTCGACACGCCCCGTCAGTGTAGATGTCTCCTGTGGTCATCTCAAGGGAGCCATACTCGACGTGCCAGCGCTCGGAGTCGTCGCGCGGAGGCAAGGCAGGAAAGCTGGATCGAGTGGCCATGCCACGAGTGTAGAGCCAGGGTCCCCTCGTCGGTTGCGAGAAGCCTGCCCAGTCAATGCTGGTTGTGGCCTCCTGTCGCTGATGTTCTCTACTTGGACATTCCCAGACAATGTGATACTGGTCGCAATATTCAGCATCACAGTGGGGACAGCATGACGTAGCAGCATAGCCTGAGCGATAAAGCCTAGACGGGGCCCAAAAGGCCCCGCCCACAATGGTACGAAGCATAGCACTTTCATTGAAGGAGAGGATACGCCGTGAACCAAGAGCCCCCCCCTCAGACATGTCCTCATCACTTTCAGGAGGGTCATCAGGGGCCGCACGTAGGAGCGCCAGGATACGTTCCATCCAGTAACCGCGGGGTTCTTTGGGTGCCATTCCATCATCAGCAGGGTTAGGTCGACTGGCCCAAGACTCCCACATCTTGCGAACGGCAGCGGACCGAGCCAGGTCCCGAACACTTACAGGTGCGATCGTGCGCAAGTCGAGCACGTCACCTAGGTCCGTCATGAGAATGAAAGCTGAAATCGAGCGCCATCCAATGTCGCGAGTCGCAAGTAACATAGCACCTGTTGTGCCCGCAACCGGACGCCAAGGTTTGGCATCGGTAAGTACTCGAAATACTTGCCGTTGCCATGCCTTTTTGCAGCACATCGTGAGAGACAAATTTGTCCTGAACCAGGAGAGCCCTTTGATAAATCGGCTGGGTCCAACACTGGACCTGAGGATCCTCACCCATGGAACCCTGAAGGCAAGATGAAAGCCAGGCCGAGGAGGATGATCCTGGGGTATACCACGCGCCTCTCAATGTGCTCCGCATTCGGTTGACGAGCGCAGGGGGGGGGGGGGGCGCCATGCACCCCTACACCATACTGCATTGCTGGTGGGAGTGTTTGCCGTGCAAATCGCCCCAGCATGGCGCCTGCCTTACGCAGCATTCGAAGGCGAGGGAGACGACGACGAGTCACGAGGATCCGTTTCCGAAGTCGTCGATACGATAGCCTGCGACCCGCTGCAACCTCAACTCCCAAAACATCTAGGACAGCGGCGTGCCGAAATCCTTTTCGACGGAGCCGATGTGCAACAGTACGACCGACCTGCGGATCCGAAGACGTGACCGTCATCTTGTGTGCTGATGGGGTGAGTTCAATCTCCAAGAGGGTGTCCACCAACTGCGCGGGGAACTCAACCGACGACTTGACAATGAATTTCCGCTCCGCTGTAACGGCAACTGCGATGTCATCGACGTACAAGTCAACCGTGCGACCGTTCGAAGACGTGCCCGATACGAACTCATCGAAGGGCGAGAGCATTACAAGCTGCAGACAGAACATTGCCAGCGGGCACCCTGGCAGTACTCCTCTAGTGGCTCGCACCTGGCGCGAGTAGGTAGACTCCCAAGAAGGACGCCTTCCACTGGCATACATTCTCAACGCGAGCACCAGCAAGCGGGCAGGAAATTGATGGGCGAGGCCAGCACGCAGTAGCATGACCCAGGGCACTCGATCGAAACACTTTTCGATGCCGATTATGGCCTGGACCGTAGTGAGCCCGTCGGGGCCCGTGTCAGCGGCTTCTGCTTGGACCAACAATCGGGCCGCAACATCCGTGGTCGACTTGTAAGTGCCCAAGGCGATATAGGACCTCCCCAGACGACTGGCCCAGCTCCGAGCCCAATCCAGACGCACCTTACCCCATAATCGATATAGAGAGTTGAGTAAGGCGATCGGCCTGTATCCTCCTGATGGTTTGGCCAACAGTACAATGTGAACACGTCGTAGAATGCGAGGCCAAATGCCCCATGTCTCGCAAAGGTGGAGAATGTATCCTAGTAGGGATAAGGCTCCATTACTTGCTAGATGCCAGTGTCGGGGTCGAAACCGGTCTGCGCCTACGGCTGTAGTCGATGGGAACCTCAGGGCGGCCTTCCGAAGGTCCATGATCTTCAGGGGGAGGGGGGGGGGGGGGCACCTGGGTCCACGATCCAGCAGCAGCTCCCCAAGAAGTCCCTCGGCTTCGACAGTAGCGCCTCCAAGACATCCAGATGAGCCGTCTGATGGCCCTTCGGTGCCCTCCCAGATTTTTGACCAGAAACTACACTGCGATTCAACAATATCCCGTGGACAACTGGACAGGCCGTTGACTGTGCGGACCGTAGAAAGCTGCCAACCCTTCGGTTTGGTCCACCGATGTAGAGCCCCAGGAGTGGTCTTGAGTGACTTACGCACCCACTTATCGAAAGACTGTGCTCGCGCATCTGCGAGGCGTCGCTCGTCACGCTGAGAGATCTTACCGAGGAAGTCACTCACGAACCGCAGCATGCAGGGATACATACGTTCGGGCTGCGTCGTAATGCACGTGAACATGCGAATGAGAACGTGAACGATATGCGGGTTGATGTGCTTCCGAAGACGACCATCCCGACCCCGTCCACCCATGAAGTCAGACAAGTGATTCCATGCCCGCGCGCGCGCTTGCATATTGTGCTTGTCATGCTGAAAGCGTAGATCATTCACATGCGCCTGTAGTATGCGCAGCGCACGCGTCTGCTGTGTCCCTGCAGGCTGCTGACGGCTGAGAGCACCCCCTGCTGTTGTATACGCATAGCGTGGGCCATCGGCACGGCCACAGAACGCTGCATCTGGCTGCTCAGTGCGGAAAAGCGGAGCAATCTCACGCTCCACTCCATCATAGAGGGCAGCCGTGAGATCCTGCAAGCGCTGGGCACGAGTGGTAACAACGCCATGCCCCTTCTCAGAATTATTCCGCATGAGGTTGATCCAGTCCACGCTGGAATGACCACGCTGGAAATAGCAAGGCTCATCATCCGCATCTACCTGCTCAACAGATGCCGTAGTGGGCTTCGGCGGGAAGACGGCAGGCCCTTAAAGCTGTTGACCACGAGGGTGCGGCCCAAGCGGAACTGCCATAGGAAA